AGTGACACGTAGACTGTAGATTTAACTTTTTAAGTTGCCTCATAAATTGCTACCTCTGGACCCCAATGTGAGCCTTTGGGCCTAGCAGAAGTGGTTGCTGTTAAACTACTGTGAAATATTTTCCAGGAATAAAGGGTAACGCAACACTCACTGTATGCTTCATCCCCTACTTTAAGAAATAAAATGCTGGTGATAGGAGCAAGGGCCCTCTCCATCCTGTGTCTGCCCAAGGAAGTAGTCTCGTGTTCTGTCAGCTCTGGCTTATAGGCTCCTTTGTACACGGTCCTTTTCTCTTGGCCTGGAGACCCAACCTGGAGCCTCTAATGAAGACATTGCCAGGCATTGTGTGCGGTAGCTTACCCGTAGGCTTCAGTGAGTTGGCTCCATGTCCCTGAGGAGCTTGTGCCGCACCCGAGAGGCTTCCAGCCAGATTGGTGCAATGGCCAGCAGGTGCCTGTTCTGGACCCATTATAATCTTGTGTCCAGAATTCTCTCCCCTTCCCCTCATCTTTATAACATTGTGTCCAGAATTTCTCACTGTCACCTCGCTGTTGTATTCTTTGCCTCCAGCCAAAGTGCCTTGGGGACGTGGTGGCTGACATGGGTCAATACCTGCTGGTGTGGTTAGGTCTCGGTCACAGGGTGTGTTAGTCTTTATGACACCTTGGAGCCATGCATTGTTATTTTTCTAGAAAAGAAAGCTGCGGCTGGTGGGGACAAGTGGCAGAGCCCAGATCCAAACCTGGATCTAATTGACTCAAGAGCTGGGGTTCTGGGAACTGCACCTGGCTGAGAAGGGCTTTGCAGGTCCACTGCACTTGGCCTAAAGAAATCCTAGCCTTTTGAGCCTCAGGATGCCTGGGCCTGCCCAGCCTGCTGCCCCTCCCCCATCACACCCACTTAGGTTGTTGGGGGGGGCGGGGTTGGTTACCATCCTACTCTAGGAGAGACAGTTTCTTGAGGCTGAGATGAGTGTTCCATCCTCCAGCTAGATCTAGGAAGACAGGACTTAGGTTGCAGAGGGCTGGCCTGTTCTCACTACTCTTCCCCAAGGGGGTGATTTGGGGAACACCTAATCAGACCTGCTTATATATCAGGGAGCTCCCAGACAACTTAAGTAAACACCAGGCCTTCCCTGCCTCCCCTGTCAGGATGGCCTTTTGTCTAGTTATCTTTCATGTACAGGGTAGAAATTCAAAGCCCTCAGGAGACTGTGACATGAAAAGCCTGGCTCTTCATCCATCCTGAACCTGGCCAGCCCCCTCTGCACCAGTTTTCTAGAGTGACCTTTCTGGTCTTCTAGGCATATACCAGCCTGCGTGGATAAATCTCCCTGGGAACCCACTAAACTTAAAGTTTTCCACGTTTAAACAATGAGGGAGGAGTGTGCCTCTCATCCCAGCAAAGTCTCTGAAGTCACTTTATTGTGTTTCTTTCTAGACCAACCTCAGTCATGCAACAACTCCCCCACCCCCTTTGGTTTTTTACATCTATTGTGCGTGTATTTTATGCTGCTCTCCCCTTAATAGTGTGGCTTGGTCATCTTAGCATGTCAGCGTCTACAGATTGAAATTGGCTTTTCTTTGTTCATTCTTTCAATGGGAATGGAGGCTTTCTGGGTCTCCCTACATCTTTGCAGACATATGCAAATTGAGCAGTAGTATAAAGCCTCTAAAAGGGGTTTCTGGGTTGGAAGTGTATGATTGCCCTGGGAACAGATGCCCAGATTTGGGCTGCCACAGTGTACAGGGGTCTAGGTGCTTTTGGGAGGGGTCAGGATTCATCAGGGTGCTGAGGAGCCCGGGGTGACCTCATGGTCCTCAAATAACCCCCCAGGGTTGGGCAGTGTGTGGCAGCAGCTGTTCTGATTTTTCCCCAGGACAGCACCAGAGGAACTGGCTTAGGTTACAGCTGATAGGGTGGGGAGTTAGGGTGGGGTTTTTCAAGCTGGGTTAGGATTCCTAGAGTGGCATTCTCTTCCAAGGCTGGCATTGGGCCTCTCTGGTGATGCAGGGGTTAGAGTCTCAGCGCTATCAAGTTATCTCCAGCCACTGCAGTCTAAGTTCAATCCCCTACCAGGCAGGTGACCCACGCAGTGCAGCAGACCTCGCCTGTCTTGCCTGCTGCTTCCTTTAACAGTGTATTTCAGTAGATCTGCCGGATCTGCTCCCCACTCTGTCTCTGGTGAATCCTCTCACTCCTCCCCTTACTTCTGGCTTACACCCCAGTTTCTGCAAATAAATAAATATAAATTTTTATTTTATAAATAAATATAATTTTTTTTTTTATAGAGGCATGTTTTATTTATTTGTTTGTTTGTTTTGTTTATACATGCACTGGGTACAGTCAGAAGCGCGGGAGGGCGAGAGAATTCACCAGAACCAGAGCGGGGAGCAGAGCAGGCAGAGTGACGAAGTACACTGCTGAGGGGAGCAGCGGGCGGCAGGAGAGGTCTGCACGCCATGCGGGACCTTCCTCCAGTGGCCGGGGAGCAGCCGGGGATTGAACCGGCGCTGCAGAGGCCGTAGGCAGCTTCGCAACCCAGCGCTCAACTGCTGCGCCACCGGGGAGGCCCTATAAATTTTTTTTAAAAAAAGATTATTTATGCATACTCTTAAGAATTGGGGTATAGGCCAGAGGTGCAGGGGGTGAGAGGATTCATCAGAGACAGAGTGGGGAACAGAACAGGCAGAGTGACTGAAATACACTGCTGAGGGGAGCAGCGGGCGAAACAGGAGAGGTCTGCTGTGCCATGTGGGTCACCTCCCTGGCTGGGGATCGAACTCGTGCTGCAGTAGCTGCAGATCGCTTCATAGTGCTGACACTTTACCCCTTGCATCACCAGGGAAGCCCCAAAATAAATCTTTAAGGGCCTCCCTGGTGGCGCAAGGGGTTAAGCATAGCACTGTGAAGCTATCCGCAGCCTCTGCAGCACAAATTCGATCCCCCAGCTGGCCTGGGAACTACTCACATGGTGTAGCAGACCTCTCCTGTCTCACCCGCTGCTCCCCTCAGTAATGTATTTCTGTCAATCTGCCTGTTCTGTTTCCTGCTCTGTCTCTGGTGAATCCTCTCACCCCCTGCACCTCTGGTCTAGACCTCAGTTCTTGTAAGCATAAATAAATTTTTAGAAAATAAAAAGACTGTCATTGTTCTGATGCCTTGATAGCGGCTGCTGCCAGTCACTAAGTACCTAGTCCACACCCTGCTGCCTCTGTTATCTCTCAGAATCCTTGTGGCAGGGAGCGGTTTCATTCTCTTTTAATCCCCATTGCACAGATGATACTCCTGGGGCTGGGAGTAAGACAGGCAGGCAGTGGGACTTTATCATCTCTCTCTACACATTGTGTCATGATCTCGTTTAACAGAAGAGGAAACCAAGGTCCATGCTAACTCAGCCAGAGAAGAACAAATATGGCTCTGAACCCAGGTCTTCCTTGATGTCCATCATTTTAACCACTGCCCTTCTTGGTTTTCTCTCTGAATGAATTGAGAATGATCCTTCCCTCTCCTGGCCGTGGGGGTGCCCTGTCATGCAGGATTGGAGGGCATCTTCTAGTGCCCAGTTTGGAAATGCTGCTGCAAGCAGGTTACATGAGTTACACCCCCATTGGTGTGTATCCTTGCTCACCCTACCTTTTTATTGGCATCCTTTGCCCTCTGCTTCCCACTGGCAACCGGAGTGCAGGTGGAAGGGTAGGTCTGACTGACTGGATCACCCTGAGGCCCCTGTGCCCAAGTTGGCATGGAGAGGCTGCAGGCACATCTGCCCACGGAGCCTTGGTACCCGAGCAGAGGGCTGCTGCTGGGTGGGCTGGCTGAGATTAGCACCTTGATATTTCTGTGCCTGAGGGGCTGGTTCTCGTCCTCCTTTTCACCTGACTCTTTCATTTTAATGTGGAATATTTTCCTGTGGAAAGGTGAACAACTAACTCATGTTTTATTTGGCAGTTGGAGGTGATTTAATAAAAGACCTCACATTTGGACAAGAGTTTCTACTCTCCTCTCCCCCTAGTCTGCCAAGATAAATAGTTTTAATTATTCCTCATTCGGTGGCTATCATAATTTTCTCACTAGCGAGGCCAGGACTTGAAATGTGGCCTTTTTAATTTGTTTTTGTTTTTTTTCCCGCCTGAGCGGTGGCTGCCTTCCTGGCTCACCCTCCACCTTTCTGTTCTCCACAAGAGTCACTAGGTCCCACTGACCCAGGTGTGTCTAACCTGAAGGGCCCAAGGACCCCTGCTTGTTCTTTCACTTTCTAGAAGCAAAGGGATGGGAAGTAGTAGCAGGGATGTTAACTGTGTGACTGCCCAGTGCCCAGGGTGTTCAGTCAGTTAAGTGACAGTCTCAAGGGCATGCTGTAGGACTTGGGCATCTGTACTGTTACCCTGGCTGCCTCCTGTACTTAAGCAAGGAGTCCTGATCCCTTGCTGTGGAAACGCTTAGCTTTTTTTTTTTTTTAAGATTTATTTATTTTTGTACAAGAACCAGGGTACAGACCAGAGGCATGGGAGAGTGAGAGGATTCACCGGAGACAGAGTGGGGAACAGAACAGGCAGATCGACTGAAATACACTGCTGAGGGGAGCAGTGGGCGAGATAGGAGAGGTCTCCTGCGCCATGTGGGAATCTCCCTGGCCAGCCGGGAATCGAACCTGCACTGGAGAGGCTATGGACAGCTCCACAGCACAGCGCTCAATCCGCTGCGCCACCAGGGAGCCAGGGAGGCCCCAAAACTCTTAGCTTTTTTTTTTTTTTTTTAAATTACAAAGCTACTTTTAATACTTCGGGGTGAGCCCCACAGGAATAAAAAACACTGGGAAGGGGTAGCTCCCCACCACCCCCAGGAGTTGCCCAGGCGGGGAGAGGCTACCTGAGGGGAAGGAAGCACAAAAGGGACCCACTGCAGACTCGGGGCAAAGGGAATGCCATCGGTGGTGGGGCCTGTGAGCACTACAGGAGGAAAGGCGAGCGTGGTGGGACTGGCTCCAGGCACACAGGCGAAGGGCAAGAGGGTTGGACACGAAGCCACAAAGCTACTTGGGTTCTTCCTTCTTCTCGTTTGCCTTTTTCTGCTTCTGCTGCATGATCTCCGAGTCCCTCTGCTTGCGGGCGGCAGCAGATAGCCCGTCATCTCGGCGCTTTCCTTTAACGGAGTCACTCTGCTTTTTCATATTCTTCTGGCGGGCGAGCTCGCGCTGGTTACCGCGGGTCATGGCGATGGCAGCGGCTCCGGCCTGCCTCCGTTGCCAAAACTCTTAGCTTTTTGAGTGCCCTTTGTGGACCACATGCTGTTGTGCCGGTCACATGCAGTTGGTGGGCAAGCAAGGTGGACCTTAAAGAACCACTGTGCCATGCCATGTCTAGGAAGTGCTGGAAGACCTCTAGGAGGAGGTGACAAGGACACACGCGAAGAAGGGATGGTGTTCCAGGTCTCAGGAGTCAGAGACGAGAAAGGTCATGCCTGTGGTCTGGGGGTAGTGAAGTTGGGTGGCATAACTGGAGAGGCAGCAAGTGTTGGTGGGTACTTGTGAGCCCCATAGGGAGCTTGGACTTATTCCAGAAGGTTCTGGGAAACCATGCAGGGGTGTGAGTAGGCAGGAGACCATAGCACATTGGCCATGTTAGATGCTGAATGGGTGGGAGGAAACCCTTTGGTCAGTACCTCTCAGAAAGGTCCCTGTGTCTGCTTCTCTCTGAGGCCACCTGCTTTTGAGGCCCTTCGGCATGCCTGGCCCTGAGTTGGGCCCTGGGTTCAGCCCAAGTGTAAGTTGGTGAACACCTTAAAATGTATTTCCTTTAAGTCTGGGACCCAGGAGACCCACCTTCTGCCACCCTGGATTCCTATGGGCTGTCTCGGAGAAGTCAAGGTGGGTGAGGAATAGCTCTATTTCTGCCTGTCTCAGTATGTGGTCCCTTGGGTGCTGCCCATGACTGAGAGCAGCCGGACTCCCAGCTTTTCTTCACTATTCACAGCCCTCCTCCAGCTTGCCCATCTTGCCTGTTTTGGCAACCTCCCTGGAGCAGCCAGCGATGCTGTCTCAAGCCTCCCCACCTCTATTCTTCCTGTTGGACCCTTTAAAGGAAAACCACTCCTCCTTGTGTGACTCGCCCACTCTCAGTGCTGACACTCAACACTTCTAATAACCAAGTATGTGTGTGGCGGCTGGGGGGCACATTTCACACCACTGGGCATCTTACAGGTCAGTTCTAACACTGTCTACTTGCAGATACCATCAGAGTCCACAAGTGAAAGGCTCCATCCCACAAGACTATATTCTCTGCCCTGTTTCAGATACCTGATTGACTTTACTCTAAGTCAGAGGCTCCCACACCCCCCTCCTTGGGTTGGATTGCTTTGCTAAAGAGGCTTACAGAACTCAGAAACATTTTACTCATTAGATCACAAGTTTATTATAAAAGGATGTAACTCAGGAACAGCCAGATGGGAGGAGTGCGTGGGGCAAGGTGTGTGGGAAGGAGTGTAGTGCTTCCGAACTCTCTGATGGCTGTACTCTCTCTAAAACTATGTGTTTACCAACCTGGAAGCTCTCTGAACCCCATCCCTTGGGATTTTATGGAGGCTCTATTATACAGGTATGATTGATTAAATTTCAGTCACTTGGAAGCAGCACAGGAAATGGTGTGGGTGTGGGCATTCTAGCTCTGTTCTGCCTCATCATGCAACCCTGGGCAACGAGTGAGCCGTAGCCCCATGGGACTGGCCACTGGCAGGAATAGGCACTTACACCATTCTGCCTTTGTCCCGAGGACTGATCCTTGTGAGAAGAGGGGGGTAAGAGAAGGTAGAATGGTATATGTGAAGGCTTGCCCACTGTGGGGGCCAAGGGACTAAGTGTGGCCATGAGGAAAGGGATGGGAGAGGGAAGCTGAGGAATGAGGCCTTGGCTGCCAGTCTGAGAGCTTGAAAAGCAGTTAGGAACATGGTCCAGCTTTTCTTTGGTTTGTCAAATATTTACTGAGTGCCTCCTATGTGCCAGTGACTGGCTCATAAGAGGTGTAGATGTGACACTCAAAATTGCTGGCTCCATGGGCTGTGGTTGCTGCTGCTATGACGGGACAGATTGGGTCACTCTCAGCCCTGGCTTCCCTGGCCCAAACCCAGCCCTTAGGGATGAAGCCAAGCTGTGCTCAGCGCAGGTCCTTTTGGTTGCCTGCCAGGCGCCAGGTTGCAGAGGGCACCTCGGGCAACTGGTCAGGTTGCCAGGCTGCTTCATAAACAGAGGCCATCCTTGGTCTACTTGTCATCCAGGCACAGCTGACAGATCGACTTTATCTACTGCCCCAGTGTGTGCGTGGGTACAGGCATCATGCCAAGGTTTAGGGTCTCTTCCTGGAACTAATATCTAGCTGGACTTGGGAGCACCTTGGCCAGGATCCCCTGTGGGTACAGTTGGGCTGTGCCTGCCAGCACATGCTTTCCACGTACCTGCCCAGACTCTAGGAGAGCAGCCCCTGGCTCCTAAGGTGTGGAGTAATATGGCAGAAGCCCGGGCTGTGGCCCAGGAGCCCTCCTCCAGGGTCAGGTCCTTGCCCCGTGCTCCGACCACACAAAGAACAGAGAGCGTGCACCCCCATGAACACCTGTTGGCCCTTAGCATCTATATTTACCAATTGGGAACTTTTTTTTTTCTATTTAGATAAAATTCACATGACAGAAACCATTTTAACATGTATAAATTCAGTGGCATTTTAGTACACTTAGTAAGTTTGCTGTGTTTAGTATTATGTAACCATCTTTGTAGTCCAAAACATCCCCCTCACCCCAAGAGGAAATCTCTTGTCCATTAAGCATTCTCTGTTCTCCCTCCTCCCAGCCCCTGGCAACCACCCGTTCGCTTTCTAGCTCTATGGATATGCTGAGTCTGCATATTTTGTATAAATGGGATTTATGTGTGACCTTTTGTGTCCTGACTTTTTTTTAACTTAGCACGTTTCTGAAAAGGTTTGTCCATGTTGTAGCAAGTGTTAGGACTCCATTCCATTTTATGGCTGAGTAATATTTCATTGTGTGGATGGACCATAGCTGTGTGTCCATTTATTTATTTTTTAAGATTTATTTATTTATGCATACAAGAACTAGGGTATAGGCCAGAGGTGTGGGGGGTGAGAGGACTCACCAGAGACAGAGTGGGGAGCAGAACAGGCAGACTGACTGAAATACACTGCTGAGGGGAGCAGCGGGTGAGTCAGGAGAGGTCTGCTGCGCCATGTGGGTCACCTCCCTGGTCAGCCGGGGATTGAACTCGTGCTGCAGAGGCTGCTGATAGCTTCATAGTGCTGCGCTTAACCCTTTGTGCCACCAGGGAGGCCCTACTATAGTAATTGACAGACCAGTGGAATTGCCAAGTCAAGTGGTAATTCCATGTTGAACTCCCCCCCCCTTTTTTTTTAAAAAAAGATTTATTTATTTATTTATTTATACAAGCACTAGGTATAGTCAGAAGCGCGGGAGGGTGAGAGAACTCACCGGAGCCAGAGCGGGGAACAGAACAGGTAGACTGACAAAATACACTGCTGAGGGGAGCAGTGGGCGTGGCAAGAGAGGTCTGCCATGCCATGTGGGAACCTCGCCCGGCGGCCAGGGATTGAACCGGCGCTGCGGAGGCTGCGGGCAGCTTTAGAACCCAGCACTCAACTGCTGTGCCACTGGGGAGGCCCCTTTCTTACTTATTTTTTGTTTATTTATTCCATCTATTTTTTTGGTTGCTTTTTTGAGGAACTGCCAAACTGTTTTCCACAGCAGGCTATGAGGTTTCTACTTTCCCCACATCCTCACTTATACTTATTTTCCTCTTTTTTGTTTTAAATTATGGCTGTCTTGGTGGGTGTGTAGTGTTACCTTGTGATTTTGATTTGCATTTCACTAATGATGAATGATGTTGAGCATTTTTTGTATGCTTTTTGGCCATTTGTGTATCTTGTTTGGAGAACAGTCTCTTTAGGTCCTTTGCCCGTTTTTATTTTGGTTGTATATCTTTTAATTTTAGAATTGTCCATACAGTCCCAACTCTAGATCTTTATCAGATAAATGATTAGCAACTATTTTCTCCTATTCTGTAGGTGGTCTTTTCACTTTCTTGATAGTGCCGTTGGAGGCACAAAGGTTTTTTAATTTTGATGGTCAATTTATATAATTTTTTCTTCATTTTTAAAAGATTTATTTATTTATTTATATAAGAACTGGGGTACAGCCCAGAGGCGTGGGAGGGTGAGAGGATTCACCAGGGACAGAGTGGGGAGCAAAACAGGCAGACTGACTGAAAACACTGCTGAGGGGAGCAGGGGGTAAGACAGGAGAGGTCTGATGTGCCATTTGGGTCACCTCCCTGGACGGGGATCAAACTCGTGCTGCAGTGGCTGCTGATAGCTTTATAATGCTGTGTCTTAACCCCTTGCGCCATCAGGGAGGCCCTAACCCTGTATTTTTTCTAGGAGTTTTATAGTTTTAACTTTCACATCTAGGTCATTGGTCCATTTGAGTCAAGTTTTATTTATGGTGTGAGTTAGGGGTCCAACTTCATTCTTTTACTTGTCCCAGCACCATTTGTATTTTCCCCATTGAACGAACATTCTTGGCACCCTCATTCAATGTCAATTGACTAAATAATTGCACCTGCAGCCCTCACTCATATTTCTCATTGTCCATTATAGCTTTTTTTTTTTTTAAGATTTATTTATTTATGCATACAAGAGCTGGGTTACAGGCAGAGGTGTGGGGGATGAGAGGATTCACCAGAGACAGAGTGGGGAACAGAACAGGCACAGACGAGTCAGGAAAGGTCTGCTGCACCATGTGGGTTGCTTCCTGGCCAGCCGAAGATCAAACTCGTGCAGCAGAGGTTGCAGATTGCTTCATAGTGCGGTGCTTAACCCCTTGTGCCACCAGGGAGGCCCCATTATAGCTTTTTGTCTAAAGATTTATTTTTTTGTGCTTGTAAACTGGGGTGTAGGCCAGAAGCATGGCTGGTGAGAGGATTCACCAGAGACAGAGCAGAGAGCAGATCAAGCGGATCTCCTGAAAATATACACTACTGAGAGGAGCAACGGGCTAGACAGGAGTGGTCTGCTTTGCCATGTGGGTTAGCTCCCTGGCCAGGGATTGAACTCAGGCCACAGTGGCTGGTGATAGCTTGACAGCGTTGAGACTTCAACCCCTGTGCCACCAGGGAGGCCCCCTTATAACTTTTATTTATTTATTTATTTTTTTAAACATTTTTTTAT